ACACAGATGGTAGGAAGCACCAAGGCTTCCAAGCACCAACAGCTCAGCCAACTGTGGATGGAGAATGGCAACTTCTAAATTCCATCTGCTCCTTTTTTGTTGCCTTCTGTACTCAGAAACACATTCATCAGAAGCACAAGCATGCTGGGACAGTGACAAATTTTACCATCTCTGGCTTGTCACTTCAACAAGATTAGATTATTTTAATATTAATTCATTAGTCAATTTAATTCCAATTAATTACATTTTTACAAGGCCCTGACATGGCAGTGATGCTGGAGACAGCCTCTGCTGAACACCAGATGTAGCATCTCTGTTAGGGTCAAACACCTGCCTTAGAGTGAGATTCCCCAGTCCTTCATCAAGGACCCCCTTTTCCTACTTTTCCCTAACAAGAGGAAGAAGGGCACTGAAACCACTGAGATGGATGAATAGCTTTCCTTTTTGGTGGGATTATGTTCAGGAAAATAGTTCACTTCCAAAATTCTCCACAGATGGTTGAAATCAGAATTGATTTCCCCATCCTCCTTCCTGGCAGGGGTGCCAGCCCGTCTCTCAACAGAAGGAATATTAAAAGCACTTTTCCTCCTTCTCATAGGAGAGGCTGCATGAAAGAAGGGAACACTCCACTGTACCTACGGGATAGCAATAAATCATAAGAGCTCATGGAAAATTCGCATTACTGTATTCTTTAGTCAGGAACCAGCTTCCACGAGTCATCCACTCCTACCTTCAAATACACTACTTTTAAAATGAGAACACAAATGGAAATAATCAGCACCTGAAGCATTCTCTCATTTTTACCCATACTTTGCTACAATACACAAGTCATTACTTCTGTCAGCTCCCCATTAGCTGCCACCTACCTATTTGCTTGCAACAAAGAGACCGAACTCTATCTCTAGCAGTGCCAGAAAAGAAAAATCAAGAGGTCCACCAGGACCACACGAGACAAAAAAGGAAGATCTAAACAGAAATGGCCTGGAGAGAAGCAGAAAAGAACAGGAAAAGCAATGGAGCTGGAAGAAAAAAAGCAGAAAATGCAGCCTGAAATACAGAAGGGGGGCCAGGGGGAAGGTGTGAAGAGCATGGGAAAGAGAAATGCAGAACTGGAACAGATTCCAAATCTGGGCAGTGATGCCCCGTGCCACCTTTCCAAAGCTGTTACAATCTGCATCCCTGTTTCGGAGACAGGAGGACTCAGAGCCTCTCCCCAGATGGCAGCCTGACCTTGGTGCACCCTGCTCTTACACAACCCAGACCCAGGCAGCCGCCGGGAGAGAAACAGAACACCCAGAAAGTTACAGCCCTTTCCCGTAATGCGGCTGCAACAGATCTGCCCCATTAATACTGCACGACACCGCGTGCAAATTTATACTTTGAAAAAGGACGGCATGTTGATACAGCTCACGGTGTTCAAATCTCTCCTTTGCAATAGCGCTGGTACCTATTTTAATAGAGACTGTTACGGCATAAATGAGAGGAAAGGACCACTGAACTACATGGCAAGTTGCCAGGTCGTGCTGCAGCCTCCAGTGGTTATGCTCAAAGAGATTTAAAGTCCAGCATAACCTTGATTTTTAATAGAGTCACATTTAATGAGCTTTAACGTCCACAGTAATAATTTCCTTATTACCTATCCAGGAGTCGGAACCATGATCAGAAAAAACATGCTGCACTCCAGTCCAATGAACGAATTTAATAATGGCCAATACGTTATTATCAAAACCATCAACATGATTGTCCTTAGTGCCTTTTTTTGGTTGGTATAATTATAATTCTTTGAACCTTACGCGTAATTGTTGCAGATCACATAAGCTTGCTGAACACAGCAAACCTGACTGGCTTGAGGCTACCCAAATCCCTCACCTCTGCCAATAAGCCATTCAGGGTGTATGGCAAAATAGGACAATAAAATCTTACATTTACCTCTATCTGTCAAAAGGCAAAATGCAAACTTACATATGACCTTTGTTGTACTCCCAGCTTTTATCCATACTTTTCCTACTCTGTCCTCGGTCTCCCTTCATCCCATTTGACTCTGACACGAGGGACATCCCACCTCAAAAGCTCAGAGAACCGAATTTGCCTTTTGCATGTGTCATACAAATGAGATGGATAAACAGACATATGGGTATTGCAGCTGACAGAAAGGGGTGCAAGAAAATTTTTAATTCTTGTTATTTTTGTACAGAAACAGCTCCACAAACCTCACTGAAACCTGCTCCCTTATTATGCACGATAAACCTCCCTCCCCAACGCAGCCAATTGCACGGTGACAAACAGAGCAGAGGGAGTTTCTGCCACACGGTCCCCATTTCACACCTTGAAAATATACTAAAATGGAAGGCATATGGCAGCCATGCCTGTGAGCAGAGCTGTTGAGATCCTAAGAAAACAGTGAAAGCTGGATCTTCCATTTCTTATCCAGAGGGAGACAGTGTAAGTTTTCCGGCCACGCGAATCCGTGTTGTTAAACCGCTCCTTGAACAGCTGTTGCATCCACACTGCAGATGCTGCGTGAGTTAAGCAGGAGAGAGTCAACGCAAAAATGGATGCAGCTCGCACAGCGCGCTTGATGAGTTGTCCCTTAACCCACCAGGAGCTCTGCCCTGCCCCAGCAAGAAGGCCAAATCTGGCATTCATCTGGCTAATTTAATGCCAGCTCAGATATGCCTGCTAACCTTGCACAGTCAGTGCCATAACATCCTCAGCATCTTTTGCACATCCTAATATACACCGCCTTCACCCTCTGACCGTACTGCTGAATGCTCCCACAGCAGAAAGGACGGTTTAGGACTATTTATGGCAACGTTCTCCGTGCACGACAATGATGCACACAAGTACATAAAATACAAGAAAAAACCCAAGATCCTTCCGTATAACCTAGCTTATGATACACATGCCCCAGTCTCAAAGACAGTCATGCACAGGGCTCCTCCATCCTTCATTCACAGCTCTTTTTCCCATTTTGTTTACATGAACCACTTCCATATGCACTTACAGGGGCCTCCTGTGACTGTGATAAATGACACTGAAGTATTTCTCACACTGCTAGGCTCTGCAACTGAGGCTTTCTCCCATTTGAGTTGGTGACCAGAAGTCAGAACGATGTAGCATGGGACTGGGCCAAAACGAAAAAAAGCATCACATATATGAGAGGCTGGAAACACACTGAAACCCAGTGAGCTGTTTGTTTTCCTGTCGGAATCAAAGGCAGAAGAGAAAACAGCTTTAAAAATGCATCCCTTATGAGCTAAAGACAAACCTGGTAACATCCCAGCACAAAAGCACCTCACAAACAGCTAAAAGCAACTGTGTGAAAGGCAGCAGAATAATAATTATGAATAACAAATCACAGGAGGCGTACATGAGAAACGCATTCCCCCAGAAGAAATGGTCTAATTACTGTAGATGATACCCCAGAGGTTCATTCATCAGCGGCAGAGACAGAGAGTTGACCTCACGTCTGCATCCTCTCTGCCCCTGACCGGCACTCTCCTCCCGGGGCTCGAGGGGCACTGTCAGCTGAGCGGATCCGCAGCATTAGATGTGCCAGGTACTCGGGGGCATAACGACAGACAAGGGCATTGGGCAGCAGCATCTGCTGTAATTTAAAACCCAGTGCATTTCAAATACAAATTGCAATGCAAGAACTATCCCCAAGAACTGCTCGAGTCTCACCGGGGTCCGAGACTGGAAGCTCCTACGGGCAAAGGAACCCTTCCCTAAAACGTTCAGGAAGCGTTTAATGCTTACGCGTTTGCTAGAGCATCCACTAGCAACAGTGACAAACTGTCATTATACCTCTAACATCCAGTCAGCTCTTCACTTTATAAACCACCCCATCTACACTTCTCACCATCATATTTTTAAGGCTATATAGTACCATAATCCACTGTGAGATGCCGGAACAAACGCATTCTTAGCAGTAGTAAAGTACTATTGTTTGAGCAATGGGAAAACAAGCAAGCTACTTTCAGAGAATTTTGGTGTCATAACAGTGAAAGATATTTTCTTCTGTGTATTTTCTTTAAAACAGGACTCTGCCATTTTGTGGGTCTCAAGTCTCCAACACACATGGCCTTCTAGGAAAGCTCTGCCCTCTTAGCCTCATCCGAGGGAGGATGCTGACCTCTGGACACAGACCATGTACGTGCTGCTGGAACACAACAGGTTAGCTCCACATGGACCTTCAGCTCTCTTTTCTTTTTCTCTTCTCTAACAAAAATGTTTTGAGGGCAAGGTACATGTGAGAGAGTTACAGCAGTAAGATCTCTTGGGCTCTGCAGCGTGACTCAACTCTACCTGGTCCCCTCGCAGTGTAGGTGATAGGTCACGTTTTATTGATATCCTTACCTTGATTTACAGAGTCTGAGAGCATGTCTGGAGGAGTTGACTTTGGGGTTACTGTACTAGAAAGTCTCATTCAGGTATGTGAAGAGAAGACAGACTGTACTGGAGGAGAGCCACAGATTCTGTGAAATGTATTTAGCTCGGTGAAAGATGTACTCTATTTTCATGGAGTATTGAATGTAGCTGTGATTAATGGGGCACATATACACTGATAAACAATATTAATTTGTTTTAAGCCAGGTCTGAAAAGATTTCAACCAACTGCTTCCCTGCAGCTATGAAAGTTATTTCCTACTGTCTGTATTACCTCAAAGGCTAAACCAGCTCTGAAAGGAAGGAAATATTTCCTTTTACTCCATCAGCAGCACCAGCCTATGAAGGCTGTTGTATTGGTATTTCATTTATCATGAGCAAATGATATGGATTATTATTATTTATCCTTACCACCTACCCTCTGCACCAAACTGCCACAGGACTGCCACCACACATTCACTCTCTCCTGCATCAACCCAGCTTTTTTCATTTGCCTTATAACTGTTCCATCAAGCACACTGTCTGCAATGTCTCCATCTGCTTCTGCAGTCAGCTCCTCTGGCAGTACGGATGAGTAAGTGCATCTTCATGATCAGAAGCCAGCAGCCTACCTGCAATTTCTTGTGGTGACTGAAAACTCCCAACTCCTTCCAAATTCCCAGGGATGGAGCCGCCTCCTTCGAGCACCCTCACCAGCTCCCTCAGCCTTTCACACTCCTCCTGGAGTTGCTGCTGCTCCTCCTTGCGCTGCTGCTTGGCCAAACTCGCTGGATTCATGCTGAAATGAAGAACTTTGGTTCTGCTGGGGTCATAGTCACCCTGCGTGGCAGAAACAACAGAAGCATATTGAGTTACTGATCCAACCGCCAAGTCCACCCAACCTGTACCACTCTTTGTGTGAAGACAAAAAATGTTACAGCAGAAAAAGGGACACTTACGCAGCGATAATGTTTTATTCCAACAGTTAAGTCAGCCAAACCCAGTATTGCTTCTCCTTCTCTTGCTACTCTCTCTTTCAAAAACAAACAAACAAAAAACCCAACCACCACAAAAAAAAACCCCCACTCAACAGAGCTTGCTCCCTGGCCGACACCTCCACAGTTAAATTTAATTCCAGAAATGAAGTTTTATAGCTGTATTTTAAATCTCTTGATAGCAGGAGATTATAATGAACACACAGATACACCCTTAAACTACAGCAGGACACCCAGTACTAGCCTAATTTATTACTCATACGAGCCAGCAACATCCATATGACTCCAATGGTGGAGTCATTAGCAAGTTGTATCAGCTCGTCCCAAACAAGTGAACAGATATTTCATTTTATACTTTTTTCTCAGAGGTGAGTTGTATTTATAGCAGTTTAAATAGTCAGTCAAGTCCTAAGATAGCAAATTAATATTCTTTCAAAGTGAGACAAAAACACTGATGTTACATTTGTGATTTCAGAAGGACAATTTTCATATAAACTACAGGAAGCCTCACGACCATAAAAGTAGTAAAGCATGTACTAATGCTGGCTTCCACGGCACTCTGCCCAGCTGAAACCCTATAGCAGCGCCCGCATAAAAAGGCATTTTATATGGTAATATTTTTCCTTCAATTAAATCTCAGGACCTAAAGTGATTTTGTAAACATTAATTAACCCTCAAGAGCAGCATGAGGTAGGTATTATCCCAATTTTATCATTCCATTTTCATTAAAGATGTGCTAGAAATTTATGTGGGTTTTTTTCATGCAAACCAGAGCAGAGACTGAGCAACTTCATCCTGAATTGCTGGTCATTGCTGGTAAGAGACCCCAGAAGACGCCATTCCCAAACATCTTTTATTGAAAATACTCCATCCACATACTGTAAAGCACCTCTGCTCACAGCAGGGAGTGAACTGCCGAAACTCGCCACCCGAGAGCCTGGCAGCAGATGCAGCACTGGTTGAAAAATGGGGTTGACAAATTCATGGAGAACAGCTCTGTAACTGGACCCTGCCAGCGGAGGGCAGGGCCCATCCTTCGGCATCTCTGGCTCCTCAGAGAGTGCGGGGGAGCGCGGCCAAGTCTGTGGGCTCTCCCAGAAGAGCATCTTCCGTCACTGCGGTCAGAGATGTTCTGGGCTGGACAGACCACGGGTAAAGGCCAGGTGGGCACTTTTTACGTCCACATGCGACGCTTGCTACATCTCGCAGCTGTTCGAGTGCCTTTTTGCAGGAGCCATACTGCAATTCTCCTTTAAATCCTCGCTTTCTAGACGTTAGCTGGGCAGAAGGCAGCTGGAAGAGGTGCGCTCACCCGCAGAGACGCAGGTGCCCATGAGCAGTGTTGGGGTCTGGGTCCGGCGGTGCCGGCAGCGACGCGCAGGCGCTCTGGTGCTGACGGCTCCCCTGGGGTCCCCAAGGCTGGTTCCCCCTCTGCCAGCTGGCTCCCAGGGCCATGCCAGGCAGATGGGTCCCACCGCAGAGGAGAAGCAGCCAAAGCTGAGGCTGGCGGGATGCCGGCAGTTACGCAGGCAAAGGGGAAGCGCAGTTTAGAGCTGGGAGAAGATGTGAAGTCCAACAGCGCTTTTGGTCAAGAGGATGGGGTCCATGCGCTGACGAATACGAGGTTAATGCCTTCCTGCATCTACCACCAAAAATATAATTTAAACCTGCACAGCTGGAAACCTTGAATTGCAATGCAACTGGCATGGAAAGCAGCAGTGTACTTGGAAACCAGCAGATGCTCTCACTGCTGTGTTTCCCAGAGGAAAAAAAAAAAGGGGGGTACGGTTATTCCTCATAACTACTCTGAGAAACCAATATGGTGCTCCTTGTGAGAAATCAGTTTAACCACATCTGTCCATCTGGGTAGAAGAGACAGTCATTTTTTCACAGGGTAAGTATAAATTAAAAACAAAGGGAGATCTTTATCTGTATATCCCAGGCCAAGAGGGGGTGGGAGGAACCACCTAACACAGGAGGACATGGGAACCCCCAAAGGGCTGCCCTGGTCCAAGCAGCTCACTCCAGAGAACTAGGGAAACTGAGGCACAGAAACCTTGGGTACCCTTCCTAGCTGTTTGCATACCCCACAGTCAGAGTACCTGGTCTTCCAGCTCTCGGCCACATACCGGGTGGGTGATGCACATTCTCATTCTGCCCAAACCTCGCGGTGCTCAGGAGACCTATGGAAACACCTGGGAGGGCAGCACTGATCTGCAGCCCCACGGCAAAGGGGCTTCGTGACCCCATTTCCATGGGGAGGCTAAGACAGACAGCCTCGACCTGACAGACAGGCCATAAGGACCAAGAGAAGAAATAAACCCACTGACAGCCTTGGCCAAGAGAAATTTAGAAGAGAACGGAAGGACTGGGACCACACGCAGCATCTTGGAGATGTTGAACAGAGGAAGCACGAAGACAGCTGTAACAGCAGCTTATTAGATACGCACTCCCCAGCAACACACTGGCATTTACAAACCTGTTTCTGCACCCAGCTATCTAACTTCTCGTGCTATTTGCATTTCAGGACTCTTCCAGACAGGTCAGGGCACTCTTCAGTCTCATGTTTGCCTTTCAAGGGAAGAGATTCAACCCCAAAGGTTGCAAAGGGGTTTATGCTGGCTGGCAAAAGGACGCTTTTAAAATCAGAGCTGCGGAGCCCGCTTCTCCCCGCGCAGCCCAGTACCGCGGTATTTCTGACAAGCTGGGAAGGGCGGCTCTGGCCCCATCTCCCTCGCTAGCTGCAGCACCAAGGTCAGGCAGAGATCACGCCTCCTCGCCCCGGCTGCCACCACCACGCTGGCTCCAGCGCACAGCGCAGAGATCGCCTGCGCTCTCATACTGCACCATCACTGCAGACGCTCACGCAAAGGCACGAGACAGCAGGATGATCTCAGTGTGGAGGAAAGCCATGCAAACCTGGAGACTGCTGCTACTTTCCTGCCGGGACCGCTTTAACCCATGCTGCGCTAGTCTGTTGCTTTTGCAGGTTATTTGCTCTTTTAAAACATCTCTCTGGCCTTTCTATAAAGCCCTGCCATGAAGCTGCAGTGCTTTGGATCTTACAGCTCTTTCAGCCCATTTATCCTCCCCTTTTTTAACAGGCCCCCTTGAAAAATCATGCTCTAAAACTCAGCACTAGGACTTAGCCTTATTTCCAGGGCTCGCCAGCACTCCTGAACACATCACTCTGAAGCTACACTGAGACAGGTGAATCTCTTAAAAACCCACTGTGATATGAAGGCTGTGGCAGAATCCATCTCATTTAACATTTCTGGGAAATCACTAACATGTTTGCTATGCTACTCACATTTTTGGGCTAGGGGCAGTAGCTTTCTCTTTATTCTACACAGCACACATCAAACCAGTACATTTCTCCCTACAGCTAAAATATTAGTGCTGCTGGTTTATATTATAGTAATGCCTAAAAGAAACCAAGTGAGACAGGGATCCCAGCGTGTGAGGTCCTGTACAAACCCCACAAGAAACTACCACCTAAAGCCCAAAAACCAGACAACAAAGCCTGAAGATGCGGTATGTGAGGGGAGCAGAGGTATGGAAAGATGCAGTCTCCTGTTCAAGACTCCTTAGCAGCACTGTGGCAGAAATGAAAAGAAAACATGTCTTCAGCGATGACCCACCGGACTGTACCGCTGCCTTACACAGTTGCACCAAGCAGAGCGTTACTTAAGTCTCCGGGAAATTGACTGACATACTATGGATTTTCAAATAAACGCAGGCAGCTTTCCATGGAAACGGTGAAGACCAGAGCCAATTTCTGATCAGAGGGATTAGATGCATGTGTATGTAATACCAAACAGCCAAAATGGTATCACAACTTCAATTGTTTGGAGTGTTTTTCCAAATTTCTGAAGGTTGGGAGTGACTTGGTTGGCTCTAGGAAGAGTCATGGCTGGAAACTGCTAAGTATAACAGACAGCAAAGCAGCATTAAAATCTCACTAGCATTTGAAGGAAATAAACCCTAATGCCGGTAAGAAACCAGGGACTGAAGAAAGCAAACAACCTCCTCCTGGAATCCCTTTAGCTCTGAAAAATGTAAATTGCTGCTTTTCTCTGTTAACTGCTCTTCCCCCCGCAATAAATCAGTCTTACTGATCAGAATTTTGTCCTTTCAGTTCTGCAACAGAAGCCTGGAAAATGGTGGTTTGGGCGCTGGGAGAGAAGATCTGCCTATTTAGAAAATTGTTTCTAAACTAAGGCTGCTGATGAGAAAGACCAAAGAGTGGCATTTGAAAGGTGTGGTATAAAAGAGACGGCCACGCTCTTTGAACAGGAGTTGGGACTCCCTGAGCAACTGCCCAGGAACAGCTCCAGATGTTGCTTCTGCACTGAACTAATACATGCAAGCAGGTATTGCTTAACAGAGTTAAAAAGCATCTTGCAACAAACAGTAATGTATCCCTGGTTTCTCCAAGAAGCATGAAAAGTGTGCGTCAGGTTTGGAAACTTGGCCTGACTGCGAGGATCGGCCAAATCCACTTAAGCTCATGGTGCCTTTACATAGAAATATGAGACATTTGGGGGATGCAATCAATATACGACCTCTAGACAGTCCCTTTGTTGGAAAGCCACCCTGCCCCTGGTTCATTCAGCAGATAACGTGGTAGATCGTTCTGCTCGTCAGCGCATCGCAGCCAGTGTCTCAGAGAGCGAAGATGATACATTACTGCTAGTTTCTCAGCAGCACCCCCTCTTTACCCCTATTTTTCCCAATACTTTAAAAATTGGAAATTGTAGAGATGCGAAGAGTAAATAACTTGAACTAGAGAGAACTGCTGGCGTTCATTGATTCTTCTTTCAAGGCATAACATTGAGCCAGTAA